TCCAGTGACAGTATTCTATTAGGCTCTTACTTTTGTCTGTATATTAAAAACACCAGCTATAGAAGGTATATTTAGTAAATGATACTCACAAAAATGTTAACACACTACAAAATATGGTTGTGCCAAATATGAGAGGCCTTCAAAAAGTTTGTGGAAAATTAAAATGAAATAACAGAATTTTTCCAAAAATTTCTTCAATTCCTTTCTTATAATATAGAAATTCAGTGGTATATAGTTGTCCTCATCAATATGTAAGCATCTGTTATTCCTTTTATATTTACCTTTTATTTCCTTTCTTTCAGGTCACTTTCATTCAAAACCTTGTGTTCTGTGTAGAAAGAGTTTACCGAGTGCCTGACTTTGGTGTTTGGGAAAGAGGAAGCAAATATAATAATGGAAGTACTGAACTACATTCAAGGTAATTTGCTGATTTCTGAGTGTTTTTTGTTTTGTTTTTTCAATTAATTGAATGTATGGAATTTAAAAATGAATAGAAATTAAAGCATTGGATTGGAACTATAGTTTCTTTGTAATTTTCAACTTTTTTATATAACACAAATGAAATGCCTTTAAATTAAATAAAAGAAACATCTCTCTGTGTCCATAAACTTATACAAAAAGTGAACAGAGAATCTTCCCCCACTTCCCAATATGTCAGTACACTCATATCAGCCTTCATCAGTAATCGATGGCATGACCTTTCTATGCATTCAAGTTATTTTCTTTACCTTTTGGAAATGGTGTTATTCGAAATGTCAAGTACATTAAAATTTCCAAATACCAGCTGTGTGCATTGTAAAACTTGTCTTTCATGTTATAGGGGTGATTTTGATCCCAATCACAGATTCTTTATGTTAAACTTAACATTTAGTGTCATCTGTAAGGATTATTGTCAGCATCTTCAGTTGTGGTATAGTGGGTTTGAAGAAGCAATGATACATGGTGATTAATGTTTGTACTTTAGGAGATTCCTTTATTCTTTAGGGTAAAGGAAGTAGTGCTAATTGACTGAAAGTATTCCTCAATTAGGATTGAATCCTTTTTGTATGCTTGAAATTGGGGATCAGGTTGAAGGTAGCAAAAATAAAAATAGATAACTCAAATGTTCTTCCTCCATAAAAACAAAAAACCCTGACAAAAATTGTTAGAATAGAACTTTTCAAAACTCTGGAAACTACTAAAAGGCTTATCAGAACCAAGTTGAAAGATTTACAGTAAACCAAGTTGAATAATGCTTGTTCAAAGAGCAAAAAGGTGACTGAAACCAAGCCAATGGACTTTGTGATATTTAAGTCATTCACTGGACTGCTGACCACAAGGTCAGTGGTTCAAACCCAACATCCACTACTTGGAAATCCCATACGTGGTCACTATGAGTCAGAATTGCCTTGACTATACTTAACAACAAGGATAATAGCAAAAACCCATTACTCTTTTCCCATCTTGATGGCAGTCTTGAAGATCCATTGTAGGTTCTTTGTGTCAGAATGAATTGGGGTCCTTTGTTTTGAAATGTCTGGTGGCTTTTTGAAGGACTGGCATAAAGAGCCCTCATTTATTTCACTTTACTCAGAGAAATGGTTATGGAGAGTGCATTCCTCAATAAGATTTAAAAGCAAGTGATCTAGCAGTTTCAGCCTGGGAGAAAGGCTCTGAGATAGTTCAGATAATTGTTGTTGTTAAATGCCATTGACTTGGTTCCAACTCATAGTGACCACGTAAAGGGTTCCCAAGGTGAGGTTGGTGGATTTGAACTGCTGATCTTGTGGCTAGCAATGTAGTGCTTATCCTTCAACTTTCTACCAGGACTTCAGTTAAAATAATACTGTTGTTAGGTACCATCTAATCAGTTCCAAGTCATAGTGACCTTATGTACAACAGAAAAAAACATTTGTGTGGCTACCAACCTCACAATCATTATGTTTTGGTCCATTGCTTCCTCCTCTTACTGGGCATCTTGCTCTTTTTTGCTGACCTTCCGGTTTACCAGGCATGGTGTCCTTATTCAGGGAGTGGTCCCTCCTGATAATGTATCTGAAGTATAAGAGAGTAAGTCTGGCCTTCCTAACTTCCAAGAAGCATTCTAACTGTACTGTTTCCAACACAGATTTGTTTGTTCTTCTGGCTGTCCATGGTACTTTAATATTCAGCTCCAACATCTTAACTCAAATGCATCAACTCTTCTATTATCATCCTTACTTATAGTCCAACTTTCACATGTATATGAAGCTATTGAAAATACCATGGCTTGGGGAGAAGTGCATTTTAGTCCTCAAACTGACTTTGCTCTTAAATACTTTGCAGATGTTTTGTGAAGCAAATTTGCCTAAAGCAATACATTGCTTGATTTCTTGACTGCTGCTTCCATGAATATTGATAGTGGATCCAAACAAAATGAATTCTTTGACAACTTCAGTCTTTTCTCCATTTATCAGAAAACTTTATGGTGTTCAGTTCTACTCTGAAACACAAAGGGCTGCCATGAGTCAGAATTGATTCTATGGCAACTCTTAGGTTTTTGTTTTGTTTTGTTTTTTATCCAATACTTGCTATAAATATTCACACTTCAGTTTCCGTTTTGATTCTTCCTTTATCTTATTCTGTGTATTGGTTCTATGTAAACTTTCTTAGATGGAGGCTCATAGAACAGAAAACAGTTATATCAGCAGTTTCATCTTTTATTTTGGTGTTCTCTAGGGCCTCATCCAGAGTGACCATCTGGGTATATTATGCTCCTTCCTCCCTTTGCAAAACTTGGCACATCTCTTCTCCCTTATGTGCTGCACATATGAAGATACTCTCTGTAATTAAACCCCTGTCCTCAGCACCCACCATACTGTTCTGAGGTCTGAGGCTTCTTTTACATCCACACTTAGTGCTCCTTTTATAATACAGTTCAGTAGCCCTGTAAGCATGTAGAATACTTTTTATTTAGCCCAGGAATAGATCATTGTTGTATTTTGTGAAGGAGAAAACAAATTTTTTAAACTTTTGGGAATTTTCGCTTTAAAATCATGTAATGCAGGTGTCTCTCAATTTGTTATAGTATGGTGATGTGTGTGCTGCTGTGATACTTGAAGCTATGCTGCCATTGTTTCACATATCAACAGGGTTACCCATGGTAGACAGATTTCTATACAACTTCCAGATCAAGAATAGTTTAAGAAAAAGGAATATGTGGTCCTTTTCTGAGGGATTATCCCCTGAAAGCCTTATGAGTATCAGAGAAACATTTTCTAATATAGTGCCAGAAGGTGGTCCCCTCATGTTGGAAGGCACTTAAAATATGACTGAGGAAAAGCTGCCTCTTCAAAGTGGAGTGGACCTTAATGATGTGGATGGAGCAGAGCTTTTGGGTCATTCATTTGCTGATCAAGCATGATTGAAATGATTAAAAAAAAAAAATCTGCAAACATTCATTAATAATACATTATTTCATGGAATTTATGAAATTTAATTGTAGAAATATTCTTCAAACAATTGAATGCATAAAGTTCACTATCATAGGCATTATTGAGCCAAAATGGACAGGTATTGGCCATTTTCAGTTAGGCAGTAATAATGGTTTACTATGCTGGGAATGAAAAACTGAAGAGGAATGTTACTGAATTGTTATTTAAAGAGCCTTTAAAGATCTATGATAAGGAACAATGCTGTCTGTGATAGAATAATATCTACATGCCTACAAGAAAGACTAGTGAATGCAATTATTATTCAAACTTGTGCACCAACCACCAAAGTCAGTGATGAAGAAATTAAAGAATTCTACCAGTTTCTTCAGTCAGAAATTGTTCAAACATGATCAAAATTAATTGATAGTTACTGATTATTGGAATATCAATGCTGAAAGTAACAAGAAGATGCTGATAGTTGAAAATTACATAATAGAAATGATGCTAGATATTGCATGATGGAATTTTGCAAGACCAGTGACTCAATTACAAATACCTTTTTTCAACAACATAAACCATGACTATACAATTGAAAATCACTGGATGGAATACACAGGAATCAAATTAAGTACATCGATGGGACGAGACGATAGAGAAGCTCAATATCATCAGCCAAAACAAGGCCAGGGGCTAACTGGAAGAGACCATCAGCTACTGATATGCAAGTTCAGGCTGAAGCTGAAGAATATTAAAACAAGTTCACGAGAGCCAAAATACGACCTTGAGTATATCCCACCTGAATTTAAAAACTTTCTCAAGAACAAATTGGATACATTGAACACTAATGACTGATGACCAGAGGAGTTGTGAGATGACACCACAAACATCATACATGAAGAAAGCAAAAAGCCATTACTGCATCAGGAAAGAAAGAAAAGACCAAAGTGAATGTTAGAAGAAACTGTGAAACTTGCTCTTGAACAATGAGTAGCTAAAACTCCTGGAAGAAATAAAGTACAAGAGCTGAACAGAAAATTTGAAAGGACAGTGGAGAAAATAAAGTATTACAGTGGAATTTGCAAAATGCTGGAGTTAAAAATCCCAAAGAAAAGAATATACACAGCATTTCTCAAGCTAAAAGAACTGAGGGGAAAAATTCAAATGTCAGGTTGCAATATTGAAGGATTCTATGGGCAAATGGAGTCCTGGTGTGGTGCTGTGGGTTAGTGTACCAGACTACAAAGACGTTTGAACTGCAAGGTTGGCAGTTCAAGCTCACTAGCTGCTCCTCAGAAACCCTATACAGGGTTGCTATGGGTCGGAATCGACTTGATGGCACTTAACAACAACAACAAATAGGCAAAATATTGAGCAAAAATTTTGCATAAAGGCATACACAAAACTGAACAAGGCTTACACAGTTTGAAAGAAGGGCTAAACAAACACAAAAAAATGCTAAACAATGCCAAGTTCAGCTAATCAAAGCGAAAGAAGGGTAACCAAACCCAGAGAAGGCCCACACAAAGCTGAACAAGGCCTAAAAACAAAACGGATATGCAAAGCTGGAAAGACCTACACAGAGAGAGCCAAAGAAGTGCTAAACAAAATCAAATAAGGGCTAAACAAACCGGAAAAAAGGATACACAAATCTGAAGAAGCATTAAAAAAGCACACACACAAACACACACACACAAAAAAACCCTGCTAAACAGAGCTAAAGAAGGCTTACACATGGAAACCATGGAAGGCCTACACAAAGTTGAAGGAAGCCTATACTAAGCTGAAGAAGGCCTACAAAAAGCCAAAGAATTAAACCAACCCCTCAAAAATGCTAAACAAAGCTGAAGAAGGGCTTAAAAAAAGTTAAAGCAAAATGAAAAAAAAGCTGAAAAGTGTTACGCAAAGCCGAAGAAGGCCTACACAAAGCTGAAGAATAGCAAAACAAAGCCAAAGATGGACTTAAAAAAAAAAAAAAAAAAGGAATAAACAAAGCCAAACAAGGGATGAACAAATTGATGTAGGTTAA